TTCTTCAGATCTTGACAATAATATTTATTTTGAAATCTGATTTACTGCCTCCCACCCCTTTTAGGAATCCTGGACCTTTATGGACATTGCTGAGACATATTTCAAGCTTGAAATTAGTTAACAGCCGTTGTCGCAGTAATATAACGGGCACCATTCCAGCTCTTATTGGTGTTGGGCGCTTTGTGAATAACAGCACATTTAATTCTCAAAACACATCAATGGGCTATCTGTCAATTTACAAATAAATGTCTGTGACGATTTTAAAATCTGGACTTTTTTTGATAGTTCCCCTCTAAAAGGTAGAGTCTACTTTGTTTCTCTTGAATTTGACTTGACTTGGTGACCAGGTTCCAAAGAGCAAGATCCAACGGATGCGGCAGTGTTCGGTGACCACAGTGAGATCTCCAAAGCTTTGGGTCTTCCTCCCTGCATTGGCCAGCCTGACTCTTAGTTTCCTCATCTTTGAGGTAAAAACTGGACATAACATCAGAGATGTGTCCAGTTGCTTAGTCTGGCCACACCAGTCATTTCAATAGCAACATCAGGCAGTCTTCCTAGCAGTGGCAGGGACATCATATGGGTGACTGTCCCGTGATCTGAATGTCCTGCTGGATTGGGTTTTTTTGTTTGTTTGTTTGTTTTCAGTTGCTGTAATAAAATAGTCCAACAACATCAAGTTAAGGGGAGGAAAAGTTTATTTTAGCTCCAAACTCAAGAACCAGTCCCTCATGGGGGTGAAGTCAAGACAGCAACAGCTTGGATCAGATACCTACATTATATCTCTAATCAGAAGAGACAAATCAACGCATGCATGTTATTACTTACCTGCTTTCGACATTTTATACACCCCAGCATCCCTTGCCCAGGGAATGGACCTGTCTACAGTTAAAATGGGTCTCTCCATGTCAGTGAACACAGTCAAGATTATTCCCCATAGGCACACCCAGGGGCCGATCTTCCAGGTGATTCTAGAGTCTGTCAAGTTGACAGTTAAACACTGATTTATTACAGAAATAAAAAAAGAGAATGATGTTAAGGCAGTTGAACAGCCATAGGCAGTGATCGCTGCTCTAAAGTTTCAGCTTCCTGCCAGCATCCATGTGAAAGGCCACCTTGAAGGCAGGTCTTCCAGCCTCATTTAAGCCTCCAGAGTGGCAAAGCTACCAAACTTTTTGACTGGCATCTCCCCAGAGACCCCGAGCCAGAAACACCAAACAAATGCCCTGTGAAGGTGAAGGAAAACTGCCAGGTGACAAACACCTTATTTTCATCAAGGGAACAGCAGCCTTTTGGCATCTTGTGTTAAGCCATTGGGGAAAATTCAGTGAACCGGGATAATTTACATACAAGGTATCTCTAGATGTGGAAGGATACAGAGATGACGAGCCTTATATCAGAAACTCAGTAAAAAGAGATGAATTAAGAGTCAGAAAGCCAGTGTGGTTTTCATAAGTCCCCATGTCCAACCACCGTACAGTTCCAGAGGGCAACGAGCCATCTTACCCTGGAAAGACAGTATGTCTTCTATCAGGACAGTGGCTCTACCCTCTCCTTAGCTGGTAAACTGGCTGGTTTTGCTTTATTGTAAGGTCATGCTGGGCAGCTAGCTCTGTCACTTCCAACTTCCCCTTCTGTTCCAGATGTGTTCCAGCACACAGGGAGCATCGGCCCCTCCATCCACCTTCTTCCTGTATCTCTGCCATTCCTTTGCACTCATCCCCACTTTCAACCATGTAATATATGAACGATTAAACCGGTGATCACCACAGCCATCTGTCTACCTCTCAGGAGGTCTTGTGACTTACGTCTGGCCAATCTTAGTGTACTATCAGTGATTGACTGGACCAAACACACTATGAAGCAGGTTATGAGCCAATCAGAGATGTTCCTTGGCATTTACAAATACCCTGTGAGGCAAGGGGAGCTTCCAGGAGGCAAGCAGAATGCTTATTTTCAACAAGGAAACAGCAGCTCCTAGAAAGTATCGGAGCATGGTAGAGACCTCTCCCATCCCATGCAACCTTGACCTTGATGCCAGACACTCTTCCATCTTTTCTGAATCTGCACAAGTCAAGAGGCTCTTCCTGTAAAAGTGTGTGTCACTGAGTTTTCGTTCATGTGTCCTCGAGCAACGTGTGGTTAATACGAAGGGTCTACCCTAGCCTGTGGGAGGTGGTGGCACTCCCACACTTTCCACGTGTCAACTGAAGAATCTGGAACAACACTGTCCAAAGACCCTTTCCCCCCCTTTAGCCTCAGGAAGCATCTGTCTTTCCTGAAAGCCAGCGTGGTCTGGGGAAATAAACTCAAAATAAAAGAGCGTAGTGATGGGTGGGTGGTTGAACCACCGGCCCAAACCTTAGTCATCTGTGTATCCTTTCTTTCCTTAGCTGCTTACCCCTCCCCCAGTCCTTGATTTGCACACATCCTGTTAGTCACCAGGTCCTGTTGATCTGGATCAAATGCTTGGTGGAAGTAGGTGGAGCAGCCTTAAAGAAAGTTAGATACTTCTTCCCTGGCGGCTTCTGGCAGGTCCAGTTTTACATCTTCGTTTTGTTTCTACCAGCCAGGACCACTGCGACTGGTCTCCCTGCCTGTCAGAGCTCTCACGCTTGCTTTTTTTGTAGGCTTTCCTCTTGCTTCCAGGTGCTCTGACTGACGTGAGTTTCTTTCGGCTCACTGTCCCGTTAGGTGGCAAACTTCTTGACTTTAGTGTTCAAGACCCTCCTCGAGCTAACCGGCATTCACCGTCCGAGGTCCTTTTGGAATCTCATATTTCTCCTTTCACAGAACTGTCTGCTGTCTTCCTTACCTCCATCCCCAAATGGAAGCCCGGTTCCTTCTCTGAGACCATGACTCTTGCCTCGCTGCTCCTCAGTGGATACCCACGTCCTTAAATCCTGCAAACCCATCTAAACTAGGGATTTTCAAATCACGTTCTGATTTTGATCAGAACAACCAAGTTTAGGATATGCCCCCTGCTTCCAGCCCCACGTACCGATGATTATGTTTTTAAATTTGACTCAGAGTATTACTTTAAACCCAGCTTCTTTCTTTCCCTCCACTTCCAAATCACTTTCTCAGATGATGAGGGCATAACTTCTTTCACCCACAAACTGACACTTGTGCAGGTTTGTTTTGCTACCTGCGGGCTGAGAGGTATTTATTATTATTCATACTATTTAGAACAGTGGTCATGGGGGAAATACCAGTTACAAAGAGGGAATGAACCCAAGAGCTGTGCCAATTCTCACCGTTTCTAAACCGAACCGATGTTTCTGTTTCTCTCCATACCTCCGCCATTTTCTCCTCACTATCTTAGTGCTGGATTCTCGCTGGAAACTGGAAACACAATTTGCCGTTTTGACATAGTCCAGCAAGCATCGCTCTCTCTGTTCTGGATCACTGTCCACCAGCAACTGTGGTAAAAGTTTGTGGCAGTCAGATAAGTCCTTGTCATGCCCCTCTGCAGCAGGAGAGGCCGGGGGTCAGCTTAAGATATAACTTAGCTTTACTGAGTTCCCTGGGGATGGACAGGCCACATCACCACAGGTACCTGGATCCTCCATAGTGCTTGTATATGGCCGGCCACCCGTTTAGAAAGGGCAACAGGTAATCTGCCCACCGTGCTGCAAACAGCAAACGATCAAAGGAGGATATGGTTTATATCCATTACCTATTTGACTTGAGAAAAAAAAAAAACAGACAAGGTGGACAGACATTTGGAGCATGAGTTCCTTGTCCCCTTCCAATTTCAGAACACTCTCCCCGGGTTCTGAGAGAGTTGTACTATTTTAAAAGGAGAACCCTTTAGGTGCAAAGGTGACCAGATATACAGGATGTTTTTTAGAAATAGATAACTCTTTAGAAAGAGGTAAGCCTCTACCTCTGTAGCCCAGCAGTATTGGAACTCCTGTTGAGACACTGAAGGAACCCTTCCACTCTTCCCTAATGTGCCTGTCCTCTTCCCTCTGGGATTCAAAGTCCAGTGTGGGCAGGGTCTCACTGGTGGCTGCAGACACTTGTAGTTGGGTGAACTTTGGGAAATGTTTGTTGATTAACTGATTGACTGGATAGCGAGGCAAGGCCATGCCTGACTCTAAACACTTCGCAGGGTTTAGTGGTGACTGCCACTGTCCTGGCTCTCCATGGAGCCTGTGGACCGGCCACTTCCTCGCTCCTCTCCTTGAAAACCCATCCTGGAAGCAAGGGCCCTTCGAACTCCACGAAGGACCAGTTCTCGAAAGATCGTGCCCAGTCCCCTCCCCGGGAAGGAGAAGAGTGGGGTACTCTGGAGCAAGAAGCAGGACTGAAGAGGGGCTCCCTTGCCTGAGACCTGCAGGTTGCTACCTGCCTCTTGGCCGCCCCTTCGCAGCCGGGGCAGGTCATTGCGGGTGGACACCTGGCCCGGTTCTCTGGGGGCCTCGCGGCTGCGCGCGCGGCCGGGCTCGGGAACGGTACCCGGGCTCGGCCCTCGGTGGCCGCCGCCCCCTCCGCCCCGGGGGCCGGGCCGGGCTCCCGGGAGGCGGGGACTCGCCCAGTGGCAGCAGCGTCCGGGCGGGCGGCGGGCGCGGGTCGGCTTCCTGCAGGCGGCGCCGGGGCGAGCCGAGCGCTACAGTCACCGGCCTCGGGACACTGGGGCCCGGGCGCTCGGGGGGCCGCGTCCGAGGCTCAGGGCGCGCTGCGCAGCCGTCGGTCGCCCCTGGCCGCGCTCGCGTGTCGCCGCGATTGCCGCGGCCGCCGCCGGTTACGCCAGCCCCGCCGCCGCCCGCTCCGATTCTGCGCACAGGCGGCCCCCAAGCCTGTCATTCTGCAAAAACACAGTTTACTCAACACGCCGCACACACTCGCGCGCACACACACACACTCACACACACACACTCACACACACAGACACGCGCGCGCGCGCGTACGCAAACACACACACCACACACACACTTATACACACACGCACGCGCTCGCGCGCGCGCGCAACCCGGGGCCCCGCGCGCACACGCACGGGAGCGCGCGAGCGAGCAAGACGCGCACACCCGGCGAGCCAAGTTCCGCAGCCTGGCATGGCTTCTGGGGACCTTTACGAGGTACGGAGAAGCCGGGGCGCGGGCGGCGCCGGGGAACCGGGCCTGGCCGAGCTGGTGCGAGCGTAGTCCTCAGCCCGCGGGTGGCGGCGCCGGGGATCGGAGGGCGGCTTGGGGACTCGAGGGTGGTGGCGGACCCGAGGGTGGCGGCGGGGACTGGAGGGTGGCGGGGGCCGGGCGCGCCTCCCGCCGCCGCCTCCCGCGGCGCCCGCTCCCTCTTTCTCTTTCTCTCGCGCACACACTCTCTTACTCCATCTACTTTGCGGCCTTGGAGAGGGGAAGGAGGAAGCCGGGCGGAGCCGGGGCGGAGGGAGGGAAGGTAGCGGTCCCGGGGAGGTGCTTGCTCAGCCCCGACGAGCCGCCCCGAGTGTGAAAAAAAAAAAAAAAAAATACAGGTAAAAAAAAAAAAATTAAGGGAAAAGAAAAAAAAAGTCTCCGGATGTGCAAGGGAATGCGGGGGGCCCGCGCTGCGGACGGCCCAATTTAGGGGTGTTGAGCCCCCGAGGGTGCGCGGATGTGGGCTGGGAGGGGAGAAGGTGAGAGATCAAAGCGGAGCCAGGCTCCTAGGGAGGGGAATGAAAAGGACAAGAGTGTTGGGGCACGGGGGAGGGGGTGCTCTGGGGACACCACTCTTGCCATTCCACAGGGGCCACTGAGTGCCTGCCCCCTCCCCCCACCTGCTGCCTAGTGTCCCCCTTCTCTGGGCTCTGTAGCTCTCCTGGCAGGGGCTTGGGGGCCGGTCGTCTGTGCTGGTGTCATGCTTCTTAGGGTGAAAGAGGGGCTGCAGGGGGACCCCCGAGGTGGAAGGGAAGCTGGCCTGAAACTTGTATGTGGGTGGTCAGACTTGTTAGAGGACATGGGTGTGAATCCACTTCCCAGAACTCATCTGGCACACTAAGGGGGACATACTTGTCTCTAAGGTCATACAGGTAGTAGTGAGCACTGGATATTTTGAAATAGGTTCAAAATGTTGAAAGAAGGCGTCCATCTGTCATCTTTTGAACAGCAGAGAAATACCCATGGTCTCTGGGGAGAGAGAGCTTAGCTGGCCTTGGGACCACAACAGTTCTTGCGTGGGATTTGGACTCCTGGACAAATAAGAAGCCACCACTGATCCCAGGGGGAGGATGCCCTCCAAGAGGTGTTTGTTCTCAAGAGAAGGGTCTGAATAAAGAAGGCAAAGGGACCGGCCACCTTCTACCAGGGGGTCTGCAGATACCGCAAGAAATGAGTGTCAGGGGTCAGCTTGGCCTTCCCATCCCTGTCCTCCAGTGTGAGCCAGTCACTACGGTTGGCTGTTATTCCTAAGGTTACCGTCTAAACGTCCATGCAGTCCGGGAACACGTTGAGTTAACATTTTGGGTAAGAGACTGCAGTAGTCATCCATCCACTGTAAGCTTGTTCCTTGGGCCTTCATGGAAGCCCACGCTTCTCCAGCAGAGCATTTTTGGTGTGAGTAGAAAATGGAGGACAGGCTGGTAGGCATCTTGATTTCCTGTGTATCCAGAGCCTTCTGGATGATTCTGGGCTTGGCGGGGCCCAGTGATGGGTTACAAGTCATCAGGCTCAGGTGGGACCATGTTTTTTTTTTTTTTTTTTTAAAAAAAAAAAAACACGATATAAGTTGCCCTCTTCTTTATCCTACGGTCTTCCTTCTTGTGCTGATGGAGAAGCCAGGGAGGGATAGAAACCTGATGTGAAAATCTGATAGGATGTCTTTAAGCATGGGCCATCCAAGCACATCTATCTTTTTTCCAAGATGGCGGAGCAGTCTCTGAAACCAAAAGTTAAAACATAGTGAACTGAAAACCTTTGACCAAGTTCCCTGAAGTATAACTAGCCCTACCAGGATGCTGGCAGAAAGTGGGTGCCATTTAGGAACAAAACCAATCTTTGAAGTCATGGGATTTTTCTCACCGATGGTGAGTTGTCTCAGAGCCGGTGACATTTGCCTGGGTGACAAGCGGCCTCCTGAAGACATGAAGTGAACATCATGGGAGATGCCAGCACTTCCCCATTTAAAGCTTGAAACGTACGAACCTCCTGGGGATAATTTCTTGTTTAATGTTCATCTGAAACTGCCATTCTTAACCTTGGTAATTATAGTCGCCAGATGAATCTGGGAGTTTCCGCAATGGCCTTGAACTATCTCAGCAACCCAAGAGTGCTTATTGAAGTTCAATAAGCAGGACAATAATAACAATTACTTCTGTGGTGGTAGGTAATTGTACGAGATATAAAATGGTTTTCCTGTGGCTGATTACTTGCCCGGCCATTACTAGAAGGGCTAAACTGTATTATGAGAATATAACCAATGTCAACATTTTTATTAGCCTGTGCCCCCATTACATAACATACACCGAGGGATTTAATTGGTTGTTCAACATTTAACTTAAAAACAAGAAGTGCTAGGTATGTGCCTCGGTCCATATTTTTTCTATCTGTTAAATTACCATACGTGTTAAAAAAATAGCCCATTGATTACGAATAAATAGATCTGGGCATATTCAGTGCAGTTACTAACCTTAAAAGAAATAAAAGAAGATATCTGTTTCTAGATGATGGTATTTCCTTACTTAAATATTATACTTGGGTGTGCATAGAATGCCTTATCATAACCTCTAACCAATAAACTATATTTGCATGGGCTAGGAGTGGTGATCTTTGTAACATATGTTCCACCTGGGTGCCTGATGGCACTACCTTTGACGTTTTAGGATGAGGGTGATGTTTGGAGGGCAGAGATTCACCGCCTCTTTGGTGATTTTAGACCCCTGTTATAAAAAGCAACCCTTCCCCCAGAGAGTTCTGTTAAGAAGTCAGGTGCCGATTTTAAAGACTCCAGACAATAAGCTTTGTTTACATGATGATACTCTTCAGTTTTGGTGAGGAAACCTGGTTCAAGAGGAGGTTCTGAAATTTGGTTTTGATGGATCCCCTGGTTTTGTTTCCCCGATAGCTGAGCCCTCACTCTCTCTGATGCGTTCTCAAGATCATGTGTATGAGGGTGATTTATAATGTTGATTGATGGCTTACAACAGTGGTTCTCAACCTTCCCAACGCCACAGCCCCTTAATACAGGTCACGTTGTGGTGACACCCAACCCTAAAATTGTTTTTGTTGCTACTTCATAACTATAATTTTGCCACTGTTATGAATCAGATCTTTATCTGATATGCAGGATATCTGATATGCAATCCTTGGAAAGGGTCATTTGACACCCCCTCCAAGGGTTGAAAACTACAGGTTGAGAACTATTTTCTTAAAGCCAGATATGGCTGGATATAAAATATAATTCCCTCCACCCCCAGATGTGATAGTAAACATGTGGGCCATCAGAAGTTGTCTGTTAGACAGTTCTAGGCCGTGTGTGTGTGTGTGTGTGTGTGTGTGTGTGTGTTTGTCTTGCTTCATTGTTAGATATGAAAGCAGAAAATCTTTAGCTTGTCTCTTTCCACAGTGACCCGTATACAGGAGCATCCATTTCCCTACATGTTTACACAATAAATCTGAATCCAGAAGGTATTAGAGTTTGCCAGCCCTGGAGTTTAGTCAGCCGTTTGCCAAGATGGTTGGGCGTCGAGAACACATCATCTGTGGCACAGCTCACACGTTCACTGACTCATGGTTCTTACCAGTGAACGGAAGACCAGGTCCAGGAGACACAGAGCACACTGAGCCACGTTTGCTATTCTTATGCTGAGAGTTTCATACGTTTCTTCCCCCAGCCCGTGGTCTCTTGGTGGTGGTAATATCACGGCCTAGTTTTGTGTCTGTTGCTGAGATTAATCCACTGGCCAAATCTACTTACCTGAGCAAAGCCACATTTCTACATTATGCAGTCTGTCACTGAGAGAAGCCAGTGTTGGATCTCAAACAGGAACCTCAAGGCAGGAACTGAAGCAGAGACATGGTGGACTGCTTCCTACAGCTTGATCAGCATCAAACCTTTTTTCTTCTTTAGTGCAGTTATTGACCTTAAAAGAAATAATAGAATACGTCTTAGTCGACACTGTAGTATTTCCTTAACTAAATATTATAATCAAGTATACATAAAATGGCTTATTACAACTTTTAACTAGTAAACTATAGTTTACGTGGGCTAGGAGTGATGACCTGCTTTCTTTTACAGTCCAATATCTTCCCAGGGAGTGGACCAACCCACACTGGGTTTAGCCCTCCCACACTAATCATCAGTTAATCAAAATGCCTCATGGGCATGCCCACAAGTCAGTCTGATGTAGGCAATCCCTCAGTTGAGGTTCCCTTTTCCCAGGTGTTTCTAGTTTATGTTGAGGTTGACAAGATCTACCCAGCATACACCATGATAAGTGGTTGCTCACCCATCATATTCTTTGAGGGCTCACTTTTTTTCTAAAAGTGTGTCTGGGTATCTTCTAGAGAAGCTGACTGTCTTCCCTCAGAAGGGTTGACTGCATTTAAATGTCCACATGTAGCTTTCTTTGCTATTGAGTGGTGTCTTAATACCTCTTGCCCTTGATTAGTTGACATGAAGGACAAAGTACCTACCTTGCTGGCAAAAATGTTCAAAGAGGATGCTTTCTGTGTGGAGTGGCCAAGATGAGGGTTATTGAGTTGAACTTCACAGCCTCTCTGTGCCAGACTCTGTTTGTTGATGCTTCCTAAATCTCTATCTCCAAAATTGGCTGTAATTTGTGTGTGTGTACATCTCTCCCTCCTTATATTTAGAGCTGTGTATGTATAATGTCATGTATATTTGCACAGTGTATATAATAAAAATTTTCATTCCAAATAAAAGCAACAGAATACTTTCCTTTGTTGGAAGACATCGACTTTAGTTGCAAATGGATTCTATAGTAATGAACACAGGTCTTCCCCCTGTGGCAGGATCTGTGGGCCCTGCGTTCTTCAAAGTCACACATTAGACATAGCAGAATTTGTGGACAGAAGTGTTGAAGCCGATTGTGGAAAATGTATGCAACCCTGAGCCTACAACATCAACTAAGGCCTAAATAAATCTA